AACCTCACACCTCCCTTGAGAAAGAAAACCCTGTAGTGGTTGACCGCTGAATGGCGGTTTCCCATGGCTTATGACGGCTCGAGTTATCATAAATTTTTACTGCTTGCCATAGGGTTCCCTCAAATCAAAGATTATTGCAACCAAAACAAACGGCCATCACCTCTTATCTCTAAGCCATTTGTCATCCGTTCTTGCTTTAGGAAGTTGAAATCGTGGTAGAGAGGGCGAATTGTCCGAACTGCTATCGGAATCAGTCTCTGAATATAGTCATCATTAATATAAACCCTCCCTTCAAAAAGCGAGAAAGTGTCGGGTGCAGACCATGCACCACAAGTGACGACGGCCTTCACAAAATGTAATGTTTTCTGCCAATGAAATGATTAGCCTGTTGCAGTTGTATTCTATCAGTTGTCACTAATTACAACTATCATTTACCAGAAATCAGCTATCACTATGAACAACTTCTAACCAGATTTACTTGGAGGCCGTCGTCAGTTGTGGTGTTTGGTCTGCACCCGACACTTTCTCGCTTTTTGAAGGGAGGTTAGAAGCGAAATGATAAAAGTGGAGGGCAAAGAGAGTTGACATACCTGAGTACGAGTAACGGTCATCTTCGTACTTCATTGCATAACGCTGAAAGCCCTCAGGTCGGGCCATTACAGGAAGTGAACTGAAACCGTTTACATCACGGGTGGCGAGAAAAGAAAAAAAGCATGAAAACGATAAAAGAATAGAGCTCGGACCAGCACAATGAGCATGTCCGATCAATCAACATATTAAGTGGGTCAGCATGTATTAGTGTGCGAGTGGGACCCGTCATTCATATCACTGTGGGTGGTCCATGCCTACCTTGGCCTGAACCTCGAGAGGTGAAGTACCTCAACGGGGTAGACTCTGGTCCAGCTAAGGCATAAATAAATCACCCAGCAGACAGAAACGATCACCATCGATATCATGATTTGTCACCTTGGTCGTGACGGCTGGCGGAGGGGAGGAGGCTAAGGTTAATGCGAATGACTTTTTTGACTGCAACCAGTGAAGAGCAGGGGAGAAGACGAGATAGACGAGAAGTCCGAGTAATACAGTAACAGTAGAAGAGTCATAATGGTAACCAAGGAAGCACTGCGGTGTGGAGTGAGGTAGTGTGTCGTTGCGTAACGACTTCGATTATCCGTGGCGATAATCCTTTTGACACTTTCCAATGGCGTTGATCGACGAGATTGAGATGTGGTCATAAAGGCGATGGTCGTGACGTTCATTCCAGTCAAAACCAATTTATGAGCTATTACTTGACAATGATTTATTGAGGATACGCTTTAGTGGAGGTACTTTGAAAGGACCGACTCCATTATCGATTTCTGAACAGATCAAAACAGAACTTGATGAAATTTCAGGCTTATTTTTCAATGCTTCCTATAGCTGTTATAATGTAAGAGAACGAAAATAGTGCGTGCTCAGGAACAGAAAAATCGAATATACTTCATTTTTAATTTTTTGAAAATTTTTAGTGAGTTGGTAAGTATCTAGGATTAATGGGAAGAATGCTTCACAAAACAGCTGACAAGAATGGAAATTATTCAAATGTATTATAAAAGAAGGAAAAAGTGCCCGTAAGTTTCACTAACATAAGGAAAGCAGAACCTCGAACATGAACAAGAAACGACGAGAAAAAAGAAAGGAATACGGTTCGGCAAAAATTTGAATTTATCAAGTTATCAATCGCTGGCCAGCCGCATGCCCGATGGTAAGCGATCATAAACTGACCACACAAGAAATTTGAGATCAACTCGGCGATAACGCCATCCACATGAAGTGGCAGGAGTGAAATGGAACTTTGAAAAATAATAAAAAAAATGAAAAGGGCTTAGGAAGTCGTGGACTTATTGCAAGGTAAGATGGCGATGAAATACGGTTTGGAATTTCTGTAAAATTGTTTACTTTTCAGCTTAGGTTGCACAGCTACGTTGGGGAAGTATTTCGAAAACTAGAAGATTTGGAAGACTTGTAAAATGCAACATAATTACACAACTATCCAAAATCAAAAGGTTAATCAATGTTGAAAAAAACCATCGAAAGCGGGAGCTTATGGAACTGCCCGATTTGAAACACAAAAAAATCAAAAATACATATTCCAAGTACTGAATTCGGAAATTGACGTCCAACGAGATACTTTGGGAGGGATGAGAATGCTGCAACAAGAATTGGCTTCAACGAGATTAGAAAAATGATGAAATCTGCAGTAATGAATAAATATATAACGGTAAGCATAAACATGAAACAAGCAACTTCGGATTTTCGGCTTGTTAGGCTCGTTGGTGAGGTGCAGTTGACGACATCAAGGCAAGGGGACAAACTGACGAAAAATCAAGAAAAGAAGAATTGAAACGGTTAGTCCAAGAATAAAAACACTGCAATTTGAAGTTACTTCATTTGAGCAACAACAAAGAGATTCCTAACAGTACTCTATTGAGAAATTCCGGGCATATGATTGTCTCGCACTTGGAAACTGTGAAACTTCAGCAGAACGTGATTTCGGCAATGTGTCCTTTCCGGTCTGAGTTACTCACTCTGCTATGTAATTGAGGAAAAACAAAAAAAAAACAAAGATGAAACGTAGAAAAAGTCCCAGTAAAATTTGTAGAGTCTCAAAAAATGAGCTGCTAAGAAGAGCGTAAGTAAGTCCAGCATCCTCACATCTCACTCGTCTTTCAAGTAGTAGCCCAGAAGGTGCCACTTACTTGGGTGGGGGGGGGGAAGTCTTGTGCAACTATTCGTTCACCACAGTAATCTGGCCCTCTGTAAAGTAGCAACTCCAGAGAAGGTATACAATACACTTGGACAGCTAAAGGGAACTACAGTATGAAGGCAATAAGTCTTGTAAACTGGTATAATAAATAATAAAAGAAAATGTTTGTCACTGTTCAATTGCCTTAGGCCATCTGCACCAGAATACCCCCCCCCCCCCACCTCCCTTTCGCCTCAACTACACGAGAGCCGTACAGAGTATTGGTGGAATGAAAACGAGTACAGTCACACATAAAAATACATCAATTGCCTCGAGGGGGGGGGAGCAGTCTTGGAAGGAACACTAAGAACAAAAACTAAAGGAAAAGAGCCACTCTCGGAGAGAATGATAACTGCTTACTACCTCGGATTTCTCTTCTCTTCTAAGGCTTAGTTATAAATGAAGCGTTTCCGTGAACCTAACGCAATGATGCAGGCTGCCACAGCTCGAAGCATTTTGAATAATCATTGCCGACGACTATTTATTTTTGCTCTTTACCAAGTAAATTCAGAACGCAAGGTAACGTAACGTGGGTAGGTAAGCTAAGAAACCTGCATTTGGGTAAAACATTCATAAAGATATTCGACGTCGAAAGTTTAACGAAATACCAATTGATACATTCAGATACTCCAAAATTTATAGACAAAACACTTGTGAACGGACTATGCGGACGCAAAAAAATGAAAATTCATTTTTTTCGTTATTTGTTGTCAAGTTCTATGTTTGTCACAATGTCACTGTAGAGAACAATAGTTTATGATTCAATAAAAGCCAATAACAAAGAGATGTCAAAATGAATTATGGAAGGATATGTCAGCAAAACTAAGGTGCAATTCACAAATGAGCACGTGGTAGTAAAAGACGAGCTAAAATATCAATTATGATGTAATGAACTTATTTTCCTAAGTGATCTACGGCAATCCACAAGGCTATCGATGGAATGATGTGAAAATTTGATACATAGATTAGTATGCAGATTCGGGGCATAATTCACATTGCCAAGCACCCACTTAAGTGCCCAGTGTCACACCCGTTGGCTACAGGGACAACACCGTGTCGAATTACGCGGACCTCCTGCTAGGGTCGTGTAAGCGATCGCGATGGCAGTGCCCAGAATGAGAACCGCTCCAATACGTGATAGGTCCAACTTAAGAAAGAAAAACCATTATAAACAAAATAATAGATACGGTTCGTTTCGCTCCTTCCTCAGACGAACCTTATTATTTCGTCAATCCCCGGAGCTCATCAGTGAGTTGGGATTGGCGAAATAAAGACACAGGGGAAAGACGAATAAACCTTGATGTAACGTACTTTCATGCAGAGGAGCATGCAATGAAATGAATTGTATATTGACTAAATGAATGAAAAATTAAGTTGATTAAAAATGTAAAACTATAAAGTGTAAAAGGTGGGTGTTTGTAATTGTTCCACTAACAATTAGATAGCACTTTAGTGACGAAGTATTCCTTCCACTAACTTACTAATATTTTTATAATTATTAGCAATTGAAAATTTGTAACATATAAACTTATTTTTATAAATGCACTTAACTATATTAGTTATAATAAAGTTCTCATGTTTGTTAACTGCTGTTTAACGCCGCAGTTCGCGTTGCGAGAGTTGGGTACTATATTAGTTATAGTTAAGTGCATTTATAAAAATAAGTCGGATATACAAAACGTCGGATATACAAAAATCGATTTGTTTTTGTGCGAAAAATAGCAGGAAAGCTGACCAATGTGCGTCCATCAGGATGAGTGCGGACAGCGCACGACATGATTGGTCAGTTGTTTTTCGATGGCTTATTCTGGCAATTTCAGAGCAACCTCCATTAGGATAACCGTTCAAAAGCGCCAAGGCAGAGTAAACGATGATATGCGAACCTGATATACGGTCGCATGCGGATACCATTTTCAAACTGATCTGGGAAAATGTCAGCTGGTTAAACAAGCTCAGAATGCTTAGTGAGATTATGCATACGGATTACCAAGGCGCAGCGGGGAAGGGAAGAGCATGAGTTGCTGCCATTCAGATGGAGCGACTTGACGACGACGACTAACTGACGACCTTGTCATAAACGTGAACGATGCGCCCACGTAAGCACTGATCAAAGGCTTAGCGACCAACACGACAGGCAACGTAAACGCAACGCAGCAGGTTGCGTAATGCTTCGTGCGTGTGACGTGCATGGCTAAGATCCAAACCGGCAGGAAATATTTATTTGCCCACAACTTCGGAATTGTGACGCAAAGTCACCACGCATAGATCTTTTCGTGTTCACATGTAACCGATACGGTACACAATACAGTAACCGAAAGTTGAAGGACACCCCAGACTTGTCCGCTATTTCTACCTCCCTTTCAAAAAAAAAAACGAGAACGTGTGTCGATCAACCATAACTCAACACAAGTGACACGCCCTTGAAAGTGAATCTGGCTGAGTACTGCTTCACAGTGATAGCTGATTTTTGGTAAGTGATAGTTGTAATTAGTGACAACTGATAGAATACAACAGCAACAGGCCAATCATTTCATTGGGATAAATAGTCACAGTAGCGGTCAAAAGTGTTCGCCGAAACGCTTTTTCGTGCTTCTCTTTTTTTTTTTGCCAGAAAAATTTGGTGACCTTGAAAAAAGTTCCTTTTTTGAATATCCTGATTCTTTAAGAACTTGAGGGTATAAAAACATTAGAAAACATAGTATATCAATGCTTGGAAAACGTTGCACAAGCGAGCAAAAATAGTGCACTATAAATAGTCTCGGCGAACACTTTTGACCGCTACTGTACATTTTGTGGAGGCCGCCGTCGCTTGTGGTGTATGATGTGCACCCAACACACTCTCGTTCTCAGCAACGGAGGGTAAGCAATCAAA